AGGCAGCCAAAGGTTTCCTTTTTCATCCTTCCTGTGGATCAAAACTGCCCATCACCTTCACCTTTCACTATTTTTTTATTCTGTTGGAAAGGAAAACAGTTTGGACAGAGGTTTGCAGTCACACACATCTGATTCCCTTTTGCAGTTATGGAGTTTGCAAATTTTCTAAACTCGTTTTCCGCTGTTAGGACATCCAACAACCACATAATTACAATGTCCGAATCCCATAACTAAAATATGACAGTATCAGAACCAGAAACAAAAGCGATATGGTTCGAAAGATTTGAAAAAATTGGCTTTGACAATAGACACATCCCACTGCACAACTGCACAAATCTCTTTGTCTATGCTAATATCTACATCATGAAATCGATTTTTCATTTTAATTCTAGACTCAGTCTGAGTTAACAAGTTACTTATTAACAAATGACTTATTACTAATGTTTTATTTATGACCATAACGTTAGTTTTGCTCAGGAGTAGTTCACTAATGCTAGTCTTTGTTTGCCTTTACGTTTTTGTCTTTTTTACCTTAATAGTTGTGGATAAATTCTTCATAGACAGAATATGTCCTTGGTGGACCTTGTTGGATGAAGACTTGGTGTTGGGTAGGCAGATTTATGGAGCTGGTGGAAAATACACAAGACATTTCCACAGATATTTTGGCATAGAAAAACACTGACGTACGACCTATGTAGGCTGTTGTATTAGGCTACTTAATTCATATTGTCCTCTGTCAGAAGTGAATGCTCCTCCTGGGTGAATAATGTGAGCTCAATACTGATGAACAAAACAAAACAACTTTAAAGATGCACTGTGTAACTTTTCTGCTGGTAGGTGTTATGGTGTTGTCTGGAGTTTCCATGGGTGATACTAAACTTATCTAACGTGCACTCCTTTTATCATAGGTGTTTGTACTGCTCAAACATACCTTTAAAAACATACACTCCTTTGTGTGCGAAGTCACTTCTCCACAGATATGACCTGTAAACTGGCCTAGAGTGGCATCTCCCGCTTGCCTCTATGGAGACAAAATTTGTTTAATGCCATACACTGGAATATTCAAGGTAAAGTTATAACATGTCCATGATGACAAGCAGGTTGATGGGCTCTCCTCCAGAAAAGTTACACAGTGCACCTTTAATATCAAACCTCGCCAACTTGTTAGAAAACTCCTACTTAGGCCTAGACACGTAGTACATATTTAGTAGCCTACTATTCAACAGCTCTTTTTAAAGTGTTTTATTGAAGCAAATGCAAGCAAAGGAACACAGGAGAAAATGTTCACTATCAAAGTTGTCTGTTTTTATTGAACAAAAGTTTTCAAACATTTTAGGAAATACATTATAATACAAGTGTGGCACCAGGCAGAAACTGTGAAGCATGAATGATACTGACATAGACTTTTAACTCCAAACTCAACAACAAAACTCAACTTTGTGACTGGTTTGGACATTTTGAGTTTTACAGAGACACAGTGACAGACAGTGGCGAGAGGATCAGGGACAGAAAACAATGGAGCTGGACTGGTAAAAAAGCAGCAGGTAAAAGTTAAAACAGCTCCCATCTCTAATCAAAGGGATATTGGGAAATTTACCAGGAAAAACAAAACTAAATAGAAGCACCAAAGTTACAGTAAATGTTTAATTTGACCTTATTTTATTTAGTACAATATTTTGGCCTATAGCATGAATTCTAAAGATTCTGAGATGTAAAGTTTAAATTATTAATTTGGAATTGGGAGATTATTAAATAAATGAGCATATTGTTCCATTTAATTCACTTAGAAATGACAGATAATTAAAATATATTGTCAGGACTCAAATATAAATAGAACACAATTAAACCTCATGATAAAAATTAAATCACAAAGATACTGACGTTATCAACAAAATTCAACAAAAATGTAAATGTTGGAGGGAAACATTTTCTAAAGTGATTTCAGAAAAAAAAAACTGAAAAAATAAGGAAAAAAACTCAAATTATTTTAGGAATTTGGCTGAATTTACAGTTAGTTTGACAGAATTTTCCCACATTAATTTAAAAGTCAATAATTATAAATCTTGTGGATATGTGACTGCATAGAAAGTATAAAGCCCATGTAAAATAAAGCAGGACTCTCACATTTTGTTTTTGAACTTTATAATTTTATGTTCTCTGTGCAAGCTTGTTTTAAGGTGCACAGTGTAACTTGGTGGTCAAGGGTCTTGCTTGTCTCCATGGAGATGTAAATGCTTTGCTAAGAATGTTCCACAAAGAAGCATTAATGGCATTTCACACTTATAACACCTCAAAGTGAAGAAATGAAAGATAAATAAGTTTAATGCCATACTGTGGGACATTCCAGGCAAAATAACATCATCTCCATGGAGACAAGCACGTGGCAGACCCTCCACCAGAAAAGTTACATACTGTGCACCTTTAATGTCATGAAACTGTGGAAGTTTTGAAGTGAGCTGCATTTGTTTTTCTAACACTCGAAAACACTGACAACCTGTATTTAATTCTAAAATCATGTTGCTATGGAAGCAAAAAAATGAATATTCAGGTTAGTTGAGTAAATCCCAAAAGCCTTTTTACTGATTGTATGAAATCTTCCCAAACACAAAAAAACAAATACAAAATAAAACGTGACTAAAAGGAACACTTTGTGAAGAGTCCAGTTTTGCAGCAGCTCGTCCTGAAACTTCCCCAAAACACAAAACGGAAGACAGCTCCTTTAACTCAGCGTTTTTACATTGAATTATCGTGAGGTTTCATTTGAATAAACACTGCAGTGCATACAGATGGACAGTGGAACCTAAATTACCCATGTATCTTTAACAGCACTGGATGAAGTACTCAAGTTTGTTACTCAAGTAAAAGTACACACACATGGGGCAAAAGATTACTCAAGTAAAAGTATCACATGAAAAAAATCTTCTGAAGTAAAAGTATTAAGAGTAAAAAGTAAAAGTATTTTGCTGAGAGTTTTAGAACAATGAAAGCGTCAAATGTAATGATTTTGATAAAGAACTGAACTGATTTTGAGTGATTCTTTTGATTCCTTGATGTTTCTAGCTGTGTTGTGTGTATTTGTGTATTTGGTTTGCTCTAAGTTGGGGCGGAAACTCAAACAAAATGTGCTACAAAATCTGTCCAGGCCATTTCAGCAGGTCGTAAGCCATAAAGACTTTTTACTTTTCAGTCCAGACCTCAAATTTCTCAAATTCAGTAAAGTGCAAGTAAAAAGTATCCACTGTAAATTGTACTTAAAGGTGCACTGCGTAACATTGCCAGTGGAAGGTCCACTACCTGTTTGTCTCCATGGAAATGTTATTGCTTTGTTTAGAATGTTCCACAGCACAGATTAAACCTATCTATCACACACCACACTACGTTATAGTTCAGATCTGTGGAGAGTCACCCTATTCACAGAAGGAATTACCGTATTTTCCACACTATTGGAAGCACTCTTAAGCCTCCAACCGCATCAAAAAACTACTGTGCGTCCCTGCAATCCAGAGCGCCCTATACATGAATCCACTCGGGTGTCCCAGCAAGACTTTGTAGTAAACTACAAAGCCGCACCACCTGCAGCGCACACAAACACACACAGAGCAGACAGAGACCGCACAGCGAAACACACCCACAGACACACTCATCACTCCACGCAGACAAGGAACGGAACGGAGGAACGAACTGAAAAAGCGAGTGCAATGTGCCACTTCCTGACACAACGGAACAACTGAGTCACTGCGAACATGTCGACAATCCAGCGGTCCCAGACAGCACCCTCCCTACACGCCACAACTGAACAAAGCCCAGAGTCACTAAGTCCGACTGACCCATCTAACTGTTGTGTTTCGTTTAAAGTCTGGTGCAGTTTATTTGTGAAAAAAGTTTGAAAATAAACCATTTAATGACAGTGCGCCTGATAATCCAGAGCGCCTAATAGTGCAGAAAATACGGTATTGTATTTTGGGGAAATAAAAGCACCTGTAATGAATAAATGTTAGATGGATATGGTTAATGTCATACCATGGAACATTCCAGGGGAAGCAATCAGATCTCCATGGAGACAAGAAGGTAGCTGACCCTCTACCAGAAAAGTAAGTAAAGTAGAGATACCTAAAAATTGTACTTAAAAATTGTACTTTTCCTTTTGTACTTCTCTTTAAATTGAACCTCACAAAGCCTAAGTGCATATTTTTGTTGTGTCCTTGGGCAAGACGCTTCACCCACATTGTTCACCCTGGTCACTTTAAGGATGTAACAAGATCTCATGACATAAAACTGCCTCAAGATTGTGAACACATGAGAAAAAATATCTGAGATTTCCCCCCATGTAAAACAAAAAAGAGTCACCTTTGCTGAGTGACACCTTGTGGTCTCAAAGAGGCGCAGGTGTAACTTTTCTTGTGGAGGGTCTGACAAATGATGTTATTGCTTTGTCTAGGATGTTTCACAGTATAGTATTAAACCTTTCTATCTTCATGGAAACCATACCAGACCAAGTTGCAGGTCAGGTCTGTGGAGAGGCGACCCCACTCACAGTCAGAATGCCTGTTTTTCTAAGTATTTTGGAGCTATAATAAAACCACCTGTAATTAAATAAATCTAAGGATAGATCTGTTTAATGTCATACTGTGGAACTTTCAAGGCAGAGCAATGACATATCCACAGAAACAAGCAGGTGATGAACCCCAAACCAAAAAAGTTACACAGTGCACCTTTAACTGCATAATTTATTTATAGAAAACATGTAAAAATCTCATCTTGTCTCATTCTTTAACATTGCTGTGGCAATTTTGTCCCGTCCCATCCAGTCTATAGTCACTGTATGTACTAGCAGCATGCCACAGGAAGGGCATCTGGCTTAAAAGCTTGCTAAATTACTACAGGGGACTGGTTTCATGTGACAAACCCAAAAGAGACACTTACAAGTTACCAGTGGTTATCGAAGTTGAAATGTGGCGGTCCATCTTTATGCACAAATGAATGAATGAATGACCCCCAAATCACAGTGTACATTTTATTTCAGATCAATGACTCAAATGATAAAATTAATAAGAAGCAGTGAAAATGTAGATGTCACTGATGCCTTTTTAGCCCCAAAGAAAACATGCTATGGCAACGACAAAAAAAACAACAAAAAAAACATTCAAATTAAGACAACAATGTTAATTTGACTTTCCCACTGCATTTGGTCACCTTTGGCTTAACTATTGACAAACACAGTATAAAAAAAAGACTTGAGCAGGTTTTTAAGAAACAAGAGTTTAAAGAAACCTAGAAGTGTTTGTGGACCAGAAACAGACTCACTCCATAGCACTAAAAAAAACTATAATGTACACACTCTTCAGTATTATTTAGTTCAAGGCTAAACAGTAACATCAGCTTTGTGCATTTGTTTGCAGGTTTTAATGATTCTCTTATTTTTACTTCATTTGGTGGGTTAATACCTGTGTAAATGTAAATTATACTTTTACACCAGTCAAGAAGCAATTTGTGAAGAAAAAATATGTTGAAAATTATACAGGAAGTGGAGAGTTCTATTTTGGAGTGATTCACATCACACTAAAGGAAGGATTCTGCCCAAATGTTCAGCACAATTTACACAAGAAACACATTTTTCTGATACTTTGAACATGTTTTCAGCTAAATTAAGGTTTTCTTATATTTTTATTTGTCAGATGATAATTTCTGTGTACATTAGAGAAGTTTTGGCCCAGTGTACTACATGGTTGCTAGGTAAGTTATGGAAATCCCTAATGTGATGTCATGATTTCAAATCAGGAAGCAAACATTTAGAACAAAAAAGAAACTTCCAAATGAACAAAATCTTAAATAAGTGTGTTTTAATCAAATGAGTAGTACAACCTGTCATACACACTTGAAGTATTCATTTACCTAATAGGAGTAAACTAGGGCTACGTCCACACGACAATGCTCCTGGATTATTTTCTTTGCAGGTTGAAAAAAAATTTGCGTCCACACACGTGCTGGATCAGTAAATGTTCACGTCCACATGACAATGGAGCACTGAGTGAAAACGATATAATACATCTGCCACACCTGTATGTGGCACTGTTAACAATGATAATGGTATTTAATAATGCGTATCTCATCACCGTTTTTTAAACTTTAAGGTAATTTAGTCTATTTAAATGTATTCCAGAAATATAGCAGTTTTGTTGTGCAAAAGTTAAACACAAGTCACAGAAAAAAACATTTCATCCACTGAGTCGTGTTTTTTAGTCCACCAGAAGGTGAACCGCATCAGCACACAATAGTGAGCTGTTTTTTGAGCACTTAGTTTATGCTAATTAGCCATGCGGTTTTAAGTTTCGTTTCTGTAAAACGTAAACAAATATGTTCAAAGTTGTGTGGATAGGGAAGACTTGTACACACAGAAACGTGTCTGGACGCAAATCGTTTCTGATACGGTGATATGCGGATTTCTTTCAGCGTAAACAAAGTCTTTGTTATTGATCCCTGTGCATAATCTGTGGTGCGAGTTGTTAGTATTGTCGCTAACAGTTTGTCTCGGTTGCTAGGTGATGGGTGCGGCTCCATAGGCTACACCTGTCCCATTTTGGCAACGCTCTTGCGGTCTGTGGAGGCTAGTTCGAGGGCTGCAGGCTTCACTGCATCGGAGGACTCTGGCAATGACAGGATCATGATGTCATTGTTTTCGAAAAGCTGAGGTTTGTTTGTTTTGTCCACACGACGCCAGCGTTCTCAGATTTCTCCACTCTGGAACCCGTTCTCAAAAATCTCAATTTTTGCCCACCCAAAATGCCAGCTCCGTGGGCCAAAACGAATACAAACTTCTCCATTTTGACCAAAAAATGTTGTTGTGTGGACGGCCCCTAGGAGTAAACCTCCTCCCCCAGTCCACAATTTCCTAGTTGGAGGGAGGAGAGGGGGCCCAGCACCAGACTTGCACTGGGGCCTTGCGCAACTGCATTACAGCACTGCCAAAACTAGAACAGGACCAACCAAGCTCTACTGATCTCACACCAGGACAGAAGTGTGACTGCACCTGTAGTAATCTCAAAGTCATGGGCAAGATTGAGGACTTTTGACTGTTCAAAAGATAGAACACTCTGTTTTGAATTATTAATAATTGCTGATTCATTATCACTCTGAAACCCACGGATAGGCAAACAATCTACATATTTTCACAATTCTGTAGATGACCTATTCACATTAAAGATACTAATAAAAGATAGATAACTCACCACATGAAACCTAGCCAGGACCAAGCATTGATCAAGAGAAAATTTAAAATTCTGTCAAGTTATAGGCAAAAATGTGTAATCTCAAAGCCAACGGTCTCAGCCATGTAATTTCACTGACACATGCTAATGAACAATTACTATGATACTTGTTAATGTATGTGAGTTTATAATATAATATATATGGTTGGAGGTTTGTTGCCTGCTTGTTTTTATGGATATGCCAGTGGTCTCCCTGGAATGTTCCACAGTATGACATTAAAGAGCTCTACTTACATTTATTCAATTACAGGTGGTTTAATAGCTCAAAAATACCCAGAAAAACAGGCATTGTGACTGTGAGCGGAGTCGCCTCTCCACAGATCTAACCTGTAACTTAGCCTGGTCTGGTCTCCATGAAGATAGAAAGGTTTAATGCCATACTGTGACACATTCCAAAACAGAACTGGACTTTTCATGTGTGGGGGAAACATCTTTACATTTTGAGTGATTGTGTAGAATCTGGAGTTAATTTCTGCATCTTTCCATTCGAATATCTGATCTAGATTTCAGTTCCTTTCCAAAAAACAAACAAAAAATCGTCATAAGGCTACTTCAAATGGACAAATCCTCTAGGAATTCATGCAGCCCTTTTCATATGCAAATACATATATATATGATTTTTAATCATTAATTTTCAGTTTTCACACATATGGCATTATAGAAAAACTTGGATTTTGGAAGTGAACCCAGCACTAATCAGAAATATTAAAAGAACAAAGACTTTAATGCTTGAGATTTTGTGTATGAATTGCACAAAATAAAATAAAATAAAAGGACAGGGTATCTGCCCAAATAACACAAAAAAAGTTGAGGCAATAAGTTAAAAAGGCAAATGATGCAAGTTTGTCATTCCCTACTGGGGTCAAAACATCTCCCTTTACAACCACTGATTCTGAGGTCCCCATGTACCAGTTGACAACCCAGGCACTAAATTTTGAGCTAGAATCAGCAACACTGCACTAAATAAGAGGACTAGAACAAAAGTGAGAACTTGGCATACACACTCAAGACATTTGGACAAAATAGGTTAAACAAGTGAATAATTATTAATAAACTAAATATACACAGCTAATCTAAAATCTAAGAAAGTAAGGGGGACCATTTAATCTTCAATAATTAATCGAGTCTTTGAACCGTGGACTTTAGTTTGAAAACTCATAAGTAAATTCAGTTTGCTGAAGACCGAAATTCAAAATAAGGTAAGCCAAAAATGAAAACTATGCAGTGGAAAAGCTTGATTAAAACCTACTCAAGTTTAAATCTGATGGATCCTATTTGATCTGGTACCGAAAGTCTCTGAGGATACAATGAAATGGTTGGATTTTTATCACAGGCGACAAGTTCACCTGCAAGATCTTTTGGGCCTTTAACCTTGCCTCTGTGACCGACCGCGACTCATCCACTTTTATAACTTTGGCTCGAAGGCGCCTCCTGTGCCTCTCCTTCCAGGAGTTTCGTGTCTCTTTCGGGCTTCGGCGGGGCGGGTGCCACTGGTTGCTTCGAGTTTGAAGCTGAGTCTGTGCGTCAAAAACAGGTGCAGAGTCTCCAATCAGAGCATCATCGGACCTGGAGGCCGGACATGACTGCGTTTTCTGACTGAACAGGGCCACCACGCCGTTCTGCAGGGGGGGCTGGGAGGGCAGTCCGGACGGGGGAGGCACAGAGGAGAGTGGGGGCAGTCCAGCAGGGGGTTTGACAGCAGGGTTAAAGGTGGGCTGGATCTGGAGCCGGGCCGTGTGGTAACCCGACTGGCCCTGGATGTTGGTGAGGCGCAGGCAGGGCTGCACTGGAGGGTCCTGGCCTCGCACCAAGGGTCTGCTGAAGACAAACACCGGTCTAGAGTTCAGTCTGGGCTCCGGTGGCCGCACTCCCTGGATCCTAGGCCGACTCTGCTCACAGCTCCATGACGGATGCACCTCCCTCTTTTTGTGCGGTTTCTTCTTCTTCTTCTTGGCAGCGGGTCTGGCGTTCTTATTGGCCTGTTTGAGCATATCCACGGTGAGAGGCAGGCTCATGCAGGAGCGATATCGGTAAACGTCTTTGCTCTGGAGGATGGTGGGTCTGTGGCCCTCGTCCCGTAGCTCCTGGAGGAAGCTGAGCAGCTGGTCCGTGTGAGAGAGTTCCCTGGATTTGGGGCTGAGGATGTGGAGTGCGTCCAGGATGACATCGTGTCCCGCTGAAGAGACCCGTGACCAGGAGTGGATCACCTTCTGCTCCTCATTAGCGAAGGCCACAGGTCGGCCGACCAGAGCACCTCGCACCTCCAAAGACATCTTCATCAGCTGAGGAGAAAAGCAGAACATGAGTTATCTGGAACCTATCACTCTACAAAACAAATTACTTTTCATGAGACTGCATCAATAAAACAATTGATCAGGGTTGTCTAAATAATGGTCCAAGGGTCAAATGTGGCTCATAAACTAAATTATATGAGCCCAAAAACATCCTTCTTCTCAAACACATCACATTGCATTGTGATACAGAGTTTTACCAGAATGTTTTTTTTTTTTTTTTTTTTTTTGTCAAGGCTGATGCAGATTGTTTAGAATCCAGAGCAACTAATGGCGATATGCTCAGCCAATATTTTTGGGTCTTATCCAAACTAATCCACAGCCATTTTTGTTTTTTTAAAACCACAAATCCATAAGAGAACTGTTGATAGCCAATGCGCTAAAAAAGGGCAAATATCGACCTGATGTATCGGTTGGTCTATCTCTAGATACAAACCTAAATTATGTTGCAAACTATGTTCCGCCAAAGTTCTGTTTAATGCACAATCTGAAGGACCCACTTTATTGAACACCAGTCTGTGGCCATCTGCTTTGAATATGTTTGAATATGTGGTCCTCTGTAAAAATAAAATAAATGGAGACAGAAACCTTTGCAATAGATGGAATATACTTTTGGCAGCAGAGACACCAATGATTGACATAACAGTCAGCAGTCAAAGACTAAGCTTGAATAACAAATAACTACAAAATGGAAAAGCACAAGAGTCCCTGTTAACTGTCTGTTCTTATGGACATCATATGACTTTACAAAAACAGGTTATGTTCTTTATTCATAGTCATTCACATTCATACACAGTTTTTGTGAGAGCAAAAATGCAATCTGAAACCCAGGAAATCCAATTTGACTACTTCAGCCCATAGCGTATAAAGAACGCTGGAGGTGTCAGCCATCTTGTGACAGTATACACCGCCCACAGTGCACAACTGACCTTCTCCTTCAGGCAATTCCTATGAGCATCCTCCATCCCCCCTCCCCATGTGAGAATCTTTGTGCAATAAGATGTGTAAAATTATGAGAAAGGTAATGATAAAACAGAGTCTTAAATGGACTTCTGTTATTAGTTAAACATAAATATAGTTTAAGCTTTCTCAGTTAGGATCCATTTTCACAGTATCATTAAACTGAAGATTCACCTTATTGATACAGCACTATTCTATATTGAGATTTTTGTCACTATTTGCTTACAGCCTTTACTACAGTTTATCACAGAACACTGTCTACACAGAGTTCCAGATTACTGTGCAAATTGTGTTTAAGTGTCATGAAGGTAATTTTTTTTGTTTTCCAGTGAAACTCATGGATGGTATTGTGTCTCAGGGCTCTTTGGGTCAGTGAAATCAATCTGTGCCAATTAGTTTGCCATGTAAGTTCAATTAAAAGAAAAACTACTTAAGAAGGACGTTCCACATTATTAAGCAGACCACCACTTTCAAGCAGTCTGGGAAAGAAAAAGGATCTCTCTAGTGCTAAAAAGCATGAAATAGTTGAATACCTTATTTAGTCACTATTTCAGCTAATTACTCTGGTTTAAAACTGTGAAAGATTTGCACTATCCACAGCAAGCACTGTAAAGACCCGTTCAGACCGAGGTGTCAAGGTGTCCAGTTTATATGCAAAGTCTATGTGGACGCGCATCTAGGGCGTCCTGAGTTCCTGTGGCATGTCTTCGAGCGTCAGTGCAACGCAAATCTAGCATTGACATGGTGCGTCGCTTTCCGCATGGGATGTGCCACATCAACCAATCAGGGAAGCCACAAACATTAGCTAGATAGCTAAATATGGCTCTGGTGGATTTTTAATTATTCTGTCTCTTTGCGTCATATTTACAGACAGTAGGTCGGCCATTTGGCATCACATTCTAGATACTAGTGATGGGTATTCTAGTTCTTTTTAGAGAACCAGCTCTTTTGACTCAGCTCACTAAAAGCAGCTGGCTCCTTCCGCTCCCAAGCAGCTCTTCAGGTTGTTTTGTTGCAAGCAGGACTAAACCAGAACTGAATTAGGTCTAAACCAGGACTGAAAAAGGACTAAAAAAGGACTAAAACAGATCTAAACCATGTGTAAAACAGGACTAAACCAGAACTGAACCAGCACTGAGCGTCAGGACTCTGTCTCTATCTCTCTCCCTCTCTCGAGCCCAAGATTTAGGCCGATCGCCGATATGTTCCCAGGTGCCCATACTGGCCGATAATATCAGCCAACCGATATATCGGTCGGGTCCCAATATATACACCGCAGCCGTCAAGTTGATCGACTCCGCTGATGGTTTTATGTAATTAATACAGTCAAGTCATTCTCTCAGCCTGGTCTGCCATCGTTCCCGGAAAAGACCGGGACCAGGCACTTGTTTCCAGGGCAACAGACGAGCGTCAAGTATTTTTCTCTGCGTCCAAGACGCACGTTGGGGTGTCTGAACCCCAATGCAAAAGCGTCCAAATAGGTGTCTAGGGCATTTTTTTGACGCTGCGGTCTGAAGGCAGCATACGAGAGGCTTCACAAAATGGCTGCCACCACCAACTAACCAGATTTTCTTGCATTTCAACAGGGCTTCTTTGAGGCATAAATTCAAGCTAGAATAATTGAAAGAGTGCCAACAACACATTAAAACCTCCACAACTCTATTTAAAGACAGGTTAGACTACTCATTTCACTAAAACATCATTAGCTCTATTTTTTACTAAACATCTTACCCATGTTTTCTAATTTTTGTGTGTGCAATTTCTACTGTTACTTCCTGATTGGGCAGCAAATATGACGTACATAGAGGTAGCTGTTACCTAGCAACCATAATGTACTGCTACAAATGTAATGCCCAAGTCAAGATAATGACTGCCCTTAGAGGTCAGAACTCTGATCCTGGAATGACATAATCTCAGAGTTAAAGATCGGATGTCAAGTGGGAAAAACAATGACCAGTATTTTACAGTAAAGACTCAATAAAATAATAAAAACTAGGAAAGTGCTCAAATCAAAATGTCAAAAAGTCAAAATGAGGATCTAATTAAGTTAATTTAGTAACCAAGACAATAATTTGTAAAGCAGCATTTGAAAATGAATGTCTGCTTTGCTTTGGACATTAGATCCATGTACACACATGTTCACAGAAGTGGGCAACTAAAGTCAAAATAACACAAGTATAGTCAATGTTTTAACTGTCAACAATGTTGGATTTTCAAACCGGACACTGAAATGTTCTCAGACTAGAAATTCTGAGATCGCAGTATTCCAGTCATCATGTACAAGTCAGAAGTCGGACAATCTGACCTCTGAGCACGAAGGGAGCACACCATTAGACTACAAAAAAGAAATTACACGGCCATTCTATTTTAGAATTCACTGCTACTTTTTTTCTCATCACAAACTGCCACTTGACTGATCAAAAAATATGATAAACATTTACCACAGGTACAATCCCACTAAATCAAGTTATAATTAGAAAAAGCATGAAAAATATTAATAGCTAAATGAGTATATGTTTCAAATGGAAATATTCCTAGAAGTGTTTAACATGTGCACAGTTTGATCTGAACCTTGATTAATTTTTTTTTTAACTAAATCTAATCACAGCTGGTCCAAAAAAAAGTAAAACTAGAGCCCGACCGATATGGATTTTGTTGCGGCCGATATGACACCGATAAAATGGGAGTTGGAGCTTCCGATAGCCGATATAAATCGCTGATATGTTTAGTGATGTAAATATTCACTGTAAATCTTGAATTTTTGGCTCTGGTGGATTTTAAATTGGGTTTAAAATGTAGTGATATTCTGCCTCTTTACATCATATTTACAGACTGTAGGTCGGCCTAATGGCATTTTTGCATCACATTCTAGCTAGTAGGTCAATAGAAGAGAAAACAGCCTGTTTATGTGTGGGAGCTACGCAGCTAATCGCTAACCAATGAGAAACTAGCTTAAAAATCGACACATTTCCAACACTCACCGCTCACACAAGCTCCTCTCACATCACAAGTCTGCACTAATAAAGTCTTTTTAATCCAGACTCAAACTGATTGTTCGTAAAAAGAATATAATCTCAGTGTGTGGATCTGTGGCTGCGGGTGTAAACAAGCGCATGTGAGTGATGTGAGTCTGGGGGTGTGTTCAGTACAGACAGGACATCCACAGACAAATTACACTGCAGATAAATACTGACGCGGAGCCACATATTACGACATTTATCTGTCTGTAAAATGGATTAAATGGACATTATGTAGAGAGTCTAAGCTTTATAACGAGGTATAATATGCCCACGTGAAATATCTGCCCATATCGGCAAGATTTAAGCAGATCGCTGTTTCCAGGTGCCCATACTGGCAGATATCGGTAAACCCATATATATTGGTCGGGCCCTAGTTAAAAAGTTGTACCACAGATTTTCTTTAATTATAATTTGACAGTGCTTCTGTACTCAAAAGCTCAAACTCTACCCCAAACAAGGCACTGCCACATGACTGGATGAAGGCCTGCCGAATAAAAAAAAAATAAAAAAATAAATAAAAAATTCTATTTATTGCTCAGTTTTCATGATTAGAACGTTGTCGTTTTCATCTTTTAATGAAAATGTAAGCTGTACAGGACCCCAGGCCAAGCAAAAATGGCTGGAATATCTAATGGGTTTTTTCCCCCCACAAAGTCACTTTTTAGGTTTTGGTAGCAAATGGCACTGAATTCCCTCAAAAGTGATATGACCTCCCAGCCAATACCACTGTAGTACACTAAGCCGCGGGCTGGAATCTGTTTATTTTTTACATGAGAAGCACCCAGAATGTGTGGAAGCATTGTTCTGTTCACTGATATGCTAGGATTGTGAAGTTGGTCTAAATGAGCTTTTCAGGCCCTGAAAATGCAAATATGACCATAAACAGATGGAAACGTAATAACTTTACCATTATAGGGGGCTATGTTTGGCATTATATGGAAGGAAATTCGAAGTTAAACTCCAACAGAATAACACCAGAGAAGTGTGGTGGGGGATGAAGGCCATCACAGG